TTACCGAGTCCTTGCCATGGTATACAGGCGACTATGACATATGGATGAAGAATTTAAAAAAAATCCTCAAAAAAAAAAAAAAAACAACAACTGCCAACTTTCCGTTAATGCTGGAGTGTACTCCTTGGCACCCTTAACCAAAAAAGCCTCCAAAGTAACAAAAATAACCTTAAGATCGGTCTCGGACAGTGTCTGCTACTAGAAGTAGGAGGAAGCGGATGGAAAGTCTGAGAGTCGATAATGTTCGGCCACATAACAATCCGACAAATGGTGTTGAATGGTATATACAGCCAGACCATCTAGACCAGTGGCCTGGCTTTATATACAGATGGCTTCAAGATGGAGGAATGCATCGGTGCTGGAGAATTCTGCCCTAATCCAATGCTTAATTATTTAATGGCAATTGCAGCATTTTCCAAGCGGAGATTCGAGAAGGCACCTAAGACGGTAAAAGAGCTTTGCAATAGCATAGCAGGACCAGTGATTATATATGTTGATGGTCAGACGGGCCTAAAGGCTATCAAGTCGAGTGCCTTTAATTCAAGAGCCACTTTTGACTGCAAGAAACCCTCATTAAGCTTTGTTGGTTTCCAGGACATAGCAATGTAGTGGGGAATAAAGTGGCTGATGAATTAGCTAGAGGGGGTTCCCATACGATTGATCTACCGATATGAGACTTTTAAACCACATAAGCTATTATATAAGCTGTCATAAAGGAATCTGGAAGAAGATGACACTTAAAGATTGGTTTTAGGATATCTAAGGCCATTTGGTCGAGATAATCTCTAGAAGAAGAATAAGCTTCCTTTTATCACTTAGTAGTGTGGGGAGGTGGGTGGTGAGGTATGGTATATCCAGTCAATTGCTGAGTCTATTACACCACCACAAGCTATTATGTCAGCTGCTCAATAAAATCTCTCGTCGAAGATGCTGGAAAAAGATGACATTTAGAGACCGGTTGTGGGGTATCTAAAGCCATCTGGCCGGCAATCTCGAGAAGAAGAACAAACTTCCTTCTATCACTTAGTAGGTGGTGTTTCCCAGCAGATTTATGAGTCTTTTAGACCGCCATAACCAATTAGATTGTCAGAAGATGACACTGAGATACCGGTTGTATGATATCTTAGGCCATCTGGCCGGTAATCTCGAGAATCTCTCTTCTATCACTTTGTAGGTTTGATCTTCGATTCGCCCACATTATTTGACGTAGAGCGTCAAAATTTAGCAGACCATTTTGTATTGTGTCTAGGATGTTTGGTATTGAAAATGAGATATATCGGTGCACGTTTTGGTTTAGTCCCCATATAACGGTACATCCTGATATTCGGCATTTTTATGATTTTCCCACATATTTTTACGGATTTTTCTAAAAATACGTATTTGTAGGTCATAATGGATCCTAGTTTGTTTGGCGAAATATTGTATGTATAGGTCCTCGTTTTGGTATAGCTCCCATATATAGCGGTACCTCCAGATATTCTGTATTTTGATTATTTTTGCCAAATATTTTCACGGATTTGTCGGAAAATTGATATTTGTAGGTCATAATGGATCCTAGTTTGTGTGGCGAAATATTGTATGTATAGCTCCATGTTTTGGTATAGCTCCCATATATGGCGGTACCTTCCGATATTCGGTATTTTTATGATTTTTCCCACATTTTTTCACGGATTTTTCTGAAAATTGGTATTTGTAGGTCATAATGGGTTCTAGCTCCGTTGGCGAAGCATTGTGGTATGTATAGGTTCACGTTTTTGTATAGCCCCCCCCATAACGCGGTACCTCCCGATATTTGATATTTTGATGATTTTTGCCATATTTCTTTGCGGATTTATCTGAAAATTGGTATTTGTAGGTCATAATGGGTCCTACTTTGTGTGGCGAAGTATTGTATGTATAGGTCCACGTTTTGGTATAGCTCCCATATATAGCGGTACCTTCCGATATTCGATATTTTGATGATTTTTGCCACATTTCTTCACAGATTTTTCTGAAAATTGGTATTTGTAGGTCATAATGAGTCCTAGTTCGTGTGGCGAATTATTGTATGTATAGGTTCATGTTTTTGTATAGATCCCATATATAGCGGTATCTCCAGATATTCGGTATTTTTATTATTTTTTGCTACATTTTTTCACTGGTTTTTCTGAAAATTGGTATTTGTGTGTCCTAATGGGTTCTAGCTCCGTTGGCGAAACATTGTATGTATAGGTCCACGTTTTGGTATAGCTCCCATATATGGCGGTACCTCCAGATATTCGGTATTTTAAAGATTTTTGCCACATTTCTTAGCGGATTTGTCTGAAAATTTGTATTTGTAGGTCCTAGTGGGTTTTAGCTCCTTTGGCGAAAAAGGTTCATGTTTTTGTATAGCCCCATATAGCGGTACCTCAAGATATTCAGCATTTTGATCATTTTTGCCACATTTTCCCAGGAATATGTCTAAAAATTTTGTATTTGTGGTTCATAATGGGTTCTAATGTTTCCTTTACCCTAAGGTGGAGGGGGGTATTAAAAGTTCGGCCCGGCCGATCTTAATTTTTATACCCTACACCACAAGGTGGTCAGGGTATTATGTCTTTGTGCATTTGTTTGTAACAGGCAAAAGGAAACGAGATAGACCCATAGTTCCTTTTGATGATCTGCATAGAATCACATTCTGAGTCGATTTATGCATGTCCGTCCGTCTGTCCATGTATTTTTGTAAACAAAGTACAGTTCGCATTTATTGCCATATCCAGATGAAATTTGGCACATATCATTTGTTTGTCCCAAGGACGAACCCTATTGAATTTGGAGATAATCGGTCAAAATTTAGATATAGCTCCCATATATATATTCGTCCGATTTGCCCATTTTTGTGCACCAAACGTCTAATATTTGCCCAAATAGTATGAAATTTTGCACATACAACCAAATTAGGCCTGAAAATAAGTATGCCAAATTTGATCGAAATCGGTTCAGATATAGCTATAGCTCCCATATATATTGTCCATCCGATTTGTTATTTTTGTCCTCCGCAGCCGTAATATGCATTCTGTAACAACAATATTTGCGGAAATATATCAAATGCAGCTCAGAAATACCTTTGCTAAATTTTATCGAGATCGGTTCAGATTTGGATATAGCTCCCATATATAACTTCGTCCGATTTACCCTTTTTTGTGCACCAAACGTCTAATATTTGTCCAAATGGGATGGAACTTGGCACTTACAACCGAATTGAGTCTAGAAGCTACTATGTCAAATTTGGTGAAGATCGGTTCAGATATAGCTATAGCTCCCATATATAATGTTCATCCGATTTGTAATATATTGGTAACCACAGCCGTAATATGCACTCCGTAACAACGATTTTCAGGGAAATATATCAAATACCACTCAGAAATATCTTTGCCAAATTTTATCAAGATCGGTTCCGATTTGAATATAGCTCCTATATATATCTTTATCCGATTTCAAATAAACTAAATTAGCAAAGTGGTGAAGGGTATCATAAAGTCGGCCCCGCCCGACTTTAAGACTTTCTTTACTGGTTTTTTACTTGTTTTTATTTATAAAATCTATACTTGCTATACTATTTTCTTTTAGACAGAAATATACTCTTCGGAATTTCTCATTGTATTTCTCTCTAAAAATTTAAAATTTTCCAATTTTTCTCAAACACGTTTTTTCGGTTTTTTTTTGAAATTCATAAAAGTTCCTTCTGTTGTATTTCTATGAATTTTACATTATGTCGTCTTCATGCTCCGCGGGACTTATGTATAAAATATAAGATAACGAAGAAGTTCCACTAACTTTTTCGCCAATAAATTTCAATATGATTAATTTAGTTTAATTGCAGGGAAAAGAAAAATACTCTGAGAGACGACAATAGCTTGGCTGGCAGACTGGAAGATAAAAAAAGTGCGGGAAAAAAATTCAAATCTCCATAGGGCCATACGCTGGTGCTTGTCTGTCCTCATTTCCTTCCACGGAGCAAAAAAAAAAAACAGAGTTCATTTGGAAAACAAAACATTAAGCGGGTTTTTTTTTTGTGTTTTTATTCCTTGGCTTACTTGGCAGCACATCTTAATTCATATTAAAGTTATTCGATTAAAGTGGGCAGCAGCAGCAACACAAAAAAAAAGGCGAAGAGGAAAAACAACGAGAAACTTAAGTGATTCCCAAGACATTTATAATGTTTGTGCCAGTGCTGTGCGTGGCTCCATGTTTTGTTGTTGCCTCAACTGAGGAAGTGAAGTAATCTTGGCAGTTGTTGTTGCAGCTCTTCATATTCTTAGCTACACTTTGTTTTAATACTTTTTTGTCTCTGCTAGTATTGGCTTTGAGCTTTGCCATTTGCTGTTGTTTGGTTTTCGTTGGTTTTTTGTTCATCAGCCATTCTTTGGCAACTCCTTGAGGAGTTTTTGGTTCCTGATATGTTTTACAAAAATAATGTTGCTGTTGAAAGGAGGGATATCAATGCTGTTTTGAAAAAGAACATTGTTTTTGCCACAGTTGGCGTCATCTTTGAAAATCTTGTTCTTTTGCCTCATTTCCTCCTATGATGGAGTTTTTTTCTGCCAAGACATCGACTATGCTGAAAGTTTTTGGCCTCATGCTTTCAAAACTCTTGGCTTGGTTGGTGGCTCATTTTGTTTTTCATTCCTCGTACACAAATAAAATTTTATGATGGTCTATAACGGCAGCAGAAAAAAAAAAATAAAAATCTTAGATGTGGACCAAAAAAAGAAAACAAAAACAAGGACATTAAGGGAAGTGGCAGAAAGCAATGGGAAAAATGTTGTGGAATGCTTGCCTGCTTGCCATCACTGCTCAGCTGTGATGATTTTGTTATTGTTTTTGTTATGTTTTAATAATATATAATTTCTAGGATTTGTTGTTTTGGATATAAGGCCATCAAAACCTCCCTAGATTTTTCTATTTTTAAACAAATTTTTTAAAATTTAATAATTTCATTTAATTAATTCTCTCGCTCTCTTTCTTTCTCTTTACAGTCCTCTCAATCCGTAATACCCAGGAAGAGGAACCTCCAGATCCACAATTGATGCGTTTGGACAACATGCTAATCGCCGAGGGTGTTGCTGGTCCAGAAAAAGGTGGTGGTGGTGCTGCTGCTGCCTCAGCAGCTGCAGCCAGTCAAGGTTAGTTTCGAGTAACAGAAAGTTTTGACTGATTGTCGTTTTATTCTTTTCTCTCTCTCTCTTTCTCTCGTTTTTTTCTTTCATGCGTTTCTGTTTTTCCACCAACTAAAGTAGGCTCTTCGCTGTCAATAGATGGAGCCGACAATGCCATTGAACATTCGGATTATCGTGCCAAGTTGGCACAAATTCGCCAAATCTATCATCAGGAATTGGAGAAATATGAACAGGCGTGCAATGAATTTACAACACATGTCATGAATCTGTTGCGTGAACAAAGTCGTACAAGGTGAGTTGGGAAAAAAGTGTCAGAGGAAAATTTCAAAGGGCGATCCGAAATGTATACTCAATATGTTATGGAATTGGATGAATGCAGTTTTAATTTTAAAATATTACTATGCCATAGGAATGGAATAATAATTTATTAGAGATTAGCTTTTTTTTAAAAAAAACCCTGTCATGGTTAGGTCATTCTTTATATAACATAGCAAAAGGTCTCCTGAGAGCCTGGTTAAATGAAAATTTAATTTTGAAATATTTTTATGTATGGATCATTAATAATTTATGGAATTGGAACGCCTAACTCTTCCATTGAGCGAGCGACCATTTCCACATAACTCAGAAAAAGGTCTTTTTCGGAAACTGGATAAATTCAGATTTCATATTAAAATATATAGGAATATATAAATTCAAATTGTTACGCAATTGAAATAATAACGCTTTATAGCTTAGTCTTTTAGAAACTCTGTCATGAAATGACCATTTCCATTACAAATCTGGAAAAGTTTTTTTTGAGAACCTATTCAGAAACATTGCAAAATTTCCAAGTTATTACTTAGATTTCTGTTTCTATGTTGCTCAAATGTATATTATGTCTGCAGGACTTTTGGTATTGAAAATGGGACTTGTAGGTCCACGTTTTGGTATAGCCCCCATATAATGGTACCTCCCTATTTTCGGTATTTTTTGTGATTTTAGCGACATTATTCACCGGAATTGTTTCAAAATTGGTATTTGAAGTTCGTAATGGATACTACAGCGTAAGACAGAAAATTGTCTGTGCAGGTCCAGGTCTTCGTATAGCTTCGATATAACGGTTTCCCCTATATACGGTATTTTCATGATTTTAGCTAAATTATTCACCGGAATTGTTTCAAATTTGGTATTTGAAATTCCTAATAGGTTCCACAGTCTATGATAGAAAATTGTCTTTGTAGATCCAGGTCTTCGTATAGCCCCCATATAACGACACCTCCTGATATTCGGTATTTTGACGATTTTACCGACATTATTCATCGGAATTGTTTCAAATTTCGTATTTGAAGTTCGTAATGAGTGCTACAGCCTATGCCAGGAAATTGTCTGTGCAGGTCCAAGCCTTCGTATAGCCCCCATATAACGGCACCTCCCGATATTCGGTATTTTGGTGATTTAAGCAACATTATTCATCGGAATTGCTTCAAATTTGGTATTTGAAGTTCGTAATGGATACTACAGCCTATGACAGAAAATTGTTTTTGTAGGTCCACGCCTTCGTATAGCCCCCATATAACGGCAACTCCCGATATTCGGTATTTTGATGATTTTAGCGACATTATTCATCGGAATTGTTTCAAATTTTGTATTTGAAGTTCGTAATGAATACTACAGCCTATGACAGAAAATTTCCTATGTAGGTCCACGCCTTCGTATAGCCCCCATATAACGACACCTCCTGATATTCGGTATTTTGACGATTTTAGGTACAATATTCACCGGAAATGTTTCAAATTTGGTATTTGAGTGATGTAATGGATACTACAGCCTACGACAGAAAATTGTCTTTGTAGGTGCACGACTTCGTATAGCCCCCATATAATGGTACCTCCCTATTTTCGGTATTTTGGTGATTTAAGCGACATTATTTAACGGAATTGTTTCAAATTTGGTATTTGAAGTTCGTAATGGATACTACAGCCTATGACAGAAATATGTCTTTGTAGGTCCAGGTCTTCGTATATGCCCCATATATCGGTACTTCTCTATATTCGCTATTTTCACCATTTTAGGTACAATATTCGCCGGAATTGTTTCAAATTTGGTATTTGTTGTTCGTAATGGATGCTACAGCCTATGACAGAAAATTGTCCGTGCAGGTCTACGTCTTCGTATACCCCCATATAACGGCAACTCCCGATATTCGGTATTTTGATAATTGTAGCGACATTATTCATCGGAATTGTTTCAAATTTGGTATTTGAAGTTCGTAATGGATACTACAGCCTATGACAGAAAAATGTCTCTGTAGGTCCAGGTCTTCGTATAGCTCCCATATAACGACACCTCCTGATATTCGGTATTTTAATGATTTTAGCGGCATTATTCGCCAGAATTGTTTCAAATTTTGTATTTGAAGTTCGTAATGGATGCTACTGCCTATGACAGAAAATTGTCCATTCTGCTCCGCGTCTTCGCATAGCCCCCATATAACGGCACCTCCCAATATTCGGTATTTTAATGATTTTAGCGGCATTATTCGCCGGAATTGTTTCAAATTTCGTGTTTGCAGTTCGTAATGGATGCTACAGCCTAAGACAGAAAACTGTCTGTGCAGGTCCAGGTCTTGGTATATCCCCCATATATAGGTACTTCCCTATTTTCGGTATTTTGACCATTTTAGGTACAATATTCGTCGGAATGGTTTCAAATTTCGTATTTGCAGTTCGTAACGGGTACTACAGCCTGTGACAGAAAATTTCCTATGTAGGTCCACGTCTTCGTATAGACCCCAAAATAACGATAACTCCTGTATTTTTTAAGATTTAAAAAAAATTGTTAACGGTTTCTATTTTTTTTTTTTTTTTGAAATTTTCCAAATTTTGTGACAAATAGATAATATTCAAAGTTCGGCCCGGCCGAACATACAGCTTTTTAGCTTGTTTTGTCTTGTTATAACCTTAGAAACAATTTTGGGTCTTCCAAAAGGGATGCAAAACATCGCTGCATAATAGCATCCATGAACCTAAAATAATCTCCAAGTTTTGATTTTTTTCTTTCTTTGAGTTTTATTCTTTGAGATCGTTCTAACCCGTTGTCACTTTCTTCTTTGCAGGCCCATCACTCCCAAAGAGATTGAGCGTATGGTACAAATTATTCACAAAAAATTCAGTTCCATTCAAATGCAATTGAAACAGTCAACCTGTGAGGCGGTCATGATATTGCGTTCACGGTTCCTCGATGCGCGTCGCAAACGTCGTAACTTTAGCAAACAGGCATCAGAAATACTCAACGAGTATTTCTATAGTCACTTGAGCAATCCCTATCCATCGGAGGAGGCCAAAGAGGAGTTGGCACGTAAATGTGGCATAACTGTAAGTCTTGTTGCATATTTGCTGAGAAAACAAAACGAAACGAAACGATCGAACCAAAAAGGGAATTGAGACATCATCAGCGAAATGCTGAGTCAAATTAGCATTTCAGTGATGATGTGAAACAAGGCATTTTCAAAAATTTTGAAAAAAATGCAGTGACTTTGTTGCATCTGTTCGCTAAAGATGCACTATTATAATTATAATAAGAAATTATTTTTTTTCTGCACAAAAAAAAAAAAATTGAAAAAAAAAGAAAATGGATTCATGTTATAATTATAATACAAGATGTTTTGGAAGGCTGAGAAATTGGAGTTCTTTTTTGTTATATAATGATGGTAATTATGTCCTTTCCCATAGGTCTCACAAGTCTCCAATTGGTTTGGCAACAAACGCATTCGCTACAAGAAGAACATTGGCAAGGCCCAAGAGGAGGCCAATCTGTATGCAGCCAAAAAGGCAGCCGGTGCCTCACCGTATTCCATGGCAGGACCTCCCAGCGGTACCACAACACCAATGATGTCACCCGCCCCACCCCAAGACTCGATGGGCTATTCCATGGGTTCGGGTGGCTATGATCAACAGCAACCGTACGACAACAGCATGGGCGGCTACGATCCAACTCTGCATCAAGATCTTAGCCCTTGAGGACGTTATTTCGAAAACAAATACTAGAGCAAGAGAAGGAGGAGGAGGACTACTACTCCAATGCAAGAGACCCTAACCTATATAAAAACAATTTCTAAACTAACGCACTTTGTTTTTTAGTATTTTTTTATGATTTCTTTTTTTTTATTTCTTAAAAAAAGCTACTTCCTTACTTAAAATAATTCATAAACAAAAAAAGGAGAAGTAATGTAATTTCTAGGTGTATTATTTTCTTGTCGTCTATTCTCTTTTTCTTTTTAAAAACCCTCCATTTTTTGCTATCCCCTTTTACTTTTTATTTGGGTTTAGTTTTTAGCATTTTAGCATTTAAGTGTAAAAAAAGGAAGCAAGGGTTACCAGGTTTAACTCTTCTTCTAAAACTTGCAATAGTTTTCTTGTTTTTGCTTTTTTTTGTGTATTACAATTCGTAATTGATTTTCAGTTTTATTATGGCTTTTATTTAATTTTTTCAAAATTTACTAATTCTCCTTGCCAAAAGCCGCATATACGTAATGTATTTTTCCAAAAAAAAAAAAAAAAAAAAACAAATTTTGGTATTTTACTAATTAATTTCCTTTTTCTAGAGTATTTAGCAATGTAATAATAATAACAAAGAAAAAAAGTATACTTGAAACTAAAATTTTGAAACCTAATGTATACTGAAATGAAATCGTAATTATACTTACCACATCGCAAAACCCATTGAAGTAACCTAAAAACCCTTTGAAGAGAACTTCACACACACACAAAGTTATACGAGAACAAAAAAAAAAGAAAAAAAAAGCAAAAATCAGAAAACGTTAAACTTTTCAAATGTATACGAAATAAATTAAATTTAATTTTCATTTTAATTTTTGTTTTGTTTTTTATGCAAACAAAAAACAACATAAACAATTTTTTAAAAATATATACATATACATAATTATAAATAGAAATACTATCACAATCCCAATACCACTACTACTACTACAACAAATAAAAATGAAAAAAAAAACAACAACTTCATGCCAGAAAAAAAAAATTCTGCCCATTATTTCGATATGTATCTACTCTACACCACTTGATTTTCTGGAGGAGGCAAATAATATATTTTTTTTAGGATACCCAAAAAGGCCCCGAGTCAGGATTTGTTTGAAATATTTAACGAAGGACCCATCCATGATTGTAAGATGGAAGAATTCTTGGGTAGTTATGAGGTTATTAAGCCAAGATTGTGACAAGTCTCTTCCAAATTTCGCCAAACATTTTCCAAATTATGTTGAAAACTCCTTTAGAAAAAGGGAAAACATTTATACTCTTAAAGAATTCCAAGATGAATGAATTCTCACATACCACCTTGCCATAGATTGGGTAGTTATAAGTTTTTTTAGATATAAATCTCTTCCCATCTTTTTCCTTTTAAACTTTGTGGAGAATTTTGGCAAATATTTTCCTAAACAAAAAAAGGTTGAAGGCTTCTTTAGAAAAAGGGAAGACATTTATACTCTTTACGGCAGATACCGAAATAGCTGGAATTATATTTCCAAATCATTTCTGACTGATCCTAACGAAGAGATCTTAAAAAATTCTAAGATGGATAAACTCCCACAAAAAACCTTGACATAGATTGGGTAGTTATGAGTTTTTTGTAGGACTCTCTTCCCGTCTTTTTCCTTGTAAACTTTGTGGGGAATTTTGACAAATATTTTCCAAAACAAAAATAAAAAAAGGTTGAGGCTTCTTTAGAAAAAGGGAAGACATTTATACTCTTCACGGCAGATACCGAAATAACTGGAATTATATTTCCAAATCATTTCTGACTGATCCTAACGAAGAGATCTTAAAAAATTCTAAGATGGATAAACTCCCACAAAAAACCTTGACATAGATTGGGTAGTTATGAGTTTTTTGTAGGACTCTCTTCCCGTCTTTATCCTTGTAAACTTTGTGGGGAATTTTGACAAATATTTTCCAAAACAAAAATAAAAAAGGTTGAGGCTTCTTTAGAAAAAGGGAAGACATTTATACCGAAATAACTGGAATTATATTTCCAAATCATTTCTGACTGATCCTAACGAAGAAATCTTAAATAATTCCAAGATGGACAAATTCCCACATAGCACCTTGACATAGATTGGGCAGTTATGAGTTTTTTAGGACTCTCTTCTCTTCCCATCTGTTTCCTTGCAAACTTTGTGGAGAATTTCGGCAAATATTTTCAAAAATATTCCAAGACCCCAAAGGGGAAAAAAATATACTAGCCAGAATTATATTTCTAAATCATTTCTGAAGGCCCAAGCGAAGGACTCTTCAAGAATCCTAAGATGAACTAATTCGCACATACAACCTTGTCATAGATTGGGTAGTTATGAGTTTTTTTGGTCCAAAGTGTTTTAAATCTCTTCCCTCTTTTTCCCCTGTAAATTTTGTGGAGAAATATTTTATATGTGGGCAAATATTTTCAAAAATAGGTCCAAGACCCCTTTAAACAAAGGGAAGAAATATATATTCTTTATGGCAAACTCCGTCGTAAGCAAAATTACATTTCTAAATCATTTTGTTTTCGATATTTTCGTAAAAAGTAAAATTTGAGAAATATTTAAAAAATGGAAACCTTTATGGGAGGTTCTGGCCAAATTGGAATTCATATAAAATACCTATCAGACCTGCCATCGGTGGCGTATGTGATTTTTTTTAAGGACCATCTTCCAATAAAGAATCGTGGATTATTGTGGTTATTTTTCGTTTGATCCTCCAGTGGTTTGGAAAGTGATTTGTTCAGGAATTTGATTTTTTAAAGAAATATTTTTTGCTGTCCAAAAGAGCAGAGGCAATGAATTGTATATAGGCCCTTATATCTTCCGTGGGAGATTAAAAGAAATTACAATTTAAAGGAGAATCTTCCAATCGTGGGTTTTTGAGGTTATTTTTCGTTGTATTTTTTTTGCTGTTCAAAAGAGCTGAGACATTTAATTCTATATAGGCTCTTAGATCTTTGATGGGGGATTCAAAGAAATCACCATTTAAAGGGCTTTAAGAACTGTTGAATTTTGATAGAACCTTGTGTCTCCTGTCTATAACAACATAAAATTGAATTTTTTATAAACAACAATTTTGTATTTTTTTCCACAATATTAGGCACTACCAACCACTGGTCAAACTCAGAATTTTCGCAGGAAGTCAAGATTTTTGAAACGTCTTCTGTTTTTTTTTTTTTTTTTTTTGGGACCCATCGGTGTGTCCGCTTGTTTACATCATGATATAGCTCACACTGTTAAATATAGAGCTTTGAAATTTTGCACAGGCGTTGATATTACACCTTGGATGTTTGGTATTGAATATGGAATGCATCGGCCCACGTTTAGGAATAGCCCCCACATAGTGGTACTTCCTGATTTTCGGTATTTTTAGTGTTTTGGCCCCAATTTCCAGTTAAATCCGTTGTAATTTTGCATTTCGAGTTCTCAATGGGTAGTGGGTAACTCCTCGCAAAAAATATTCAATGTAGGTCCAGTTTTTGGCATGGCTCCCATGTAACGGTACAACCTGATTTTCGGTATTTTGAGGATTTCGAACCCGATTTCGAATCGAATAATTTGAAATTTGATATTTTGGGGCCTTTGTGGGTTGTATAACTCCTCGCAGAAAAATATTCAATACAGGTCCAGTTTTTAGGATAGCTCCTATACAAGGGTCCATATAACGTACCCCCGTACCGTACCCAGTTTTTTACCAAAAGGGCTGTTATTAACATTTTCGGTTTCTCAAGGAGTAGTTTAAGATTCCGCTTTTGGTATAGTCCCATGTCGGACCTAATTTCCCAAAAAAATAAGTTGTAGATTAACATTTTGGGTTTGTTTTGGGTAGCAATGGCTCCATATAATGAAACTCCGAAATTAAAGGATTTTGAGGATAACTAATTTGGCTATATGTCAAATTTTCACATGGTGGTAGAGGAGGAATATACATTTGGGTCCGACTCTCTGAAATATTTCTTTCTCATAATTCATAGGAGTCAATTAGGACTGGACTATGGCTTCCTTATATTTTTTATTATTCCTTATCGCCCCCTCTTTCATTATCGAAATTCTTTCCATCATTTCTCTCATTTATGGTGTAGGGTATAACAAATATTGGGCCACCCACCACAATTTGATACCCTAACGTTTCTAGAAAAATAGAAGGAATCCCAAACCACCCTCCCCTCTCACCTCCCCCACAATCTAAGTATACTCAAAAATTGAAAACGGTTTTAGAAAAACAAATCTTCGCAGAGCAACATTGTAACAACACAAATTGTATACCAAGTCGTCTTGAATCTTATAAATATACGATAATAAATAAGTAAATATATTTAAAATAAATGAATAAAAATGAAATTGAAATTAATATATACATACAAGCAAATTAATAACAACAACAAATGAATACAATATTGATGCAATATTTTTTAGATTTAACAGAAAAGAAGGGAAAATTAAAAAAAAAAATAAATAAATACAAACAATAATAAAAACCATAAACCTAAGCTACCTTCTTTACTCTCCTTTCCAACTCTCTCAAGCTCAAATCTCAAAACCCAAGTCCCCCGCAAGGAGTAATTGAATATTCCATAGCAAAAAAAAAAAAAAAAAAAATATTAAGACGGTGCTATTATTTTTAAAGATTTTATGCAGAGTAATTCCATTGGAAATACTGTTCTACCAAGTCCGGTTATGGCAAAAAGTTGAGGTTAGGAACATTTTTGAAATTACAAAATAACCATGGAATTTCAAGAAATTAACGACAAACACGACAAATATTTTGAACTGAGGTTTTAAAAAGCTAGGTTATGAACATAAAAATTAAGGTTATGGCAAATTCTTTTATTTCTAACCTCACTTTTTCCCCACATTACTGGACTGAAATTTTCAAATGACCGGATTTCCTAATAATGTATGTAGTCGGCATCTTGGAAAATATTTTCAAATTTAGATATTATTTTTATAAAAAAACTAAATATTTTGAATAAAAAAATAGAAATTTAAAAAAACTTTTTTTTTTCAAAATTCTGCTGCGCCGTTTTTAATAAAAACCCTAGTATTTTAAAACCCATTACGTTTTTTTAATTTATTTTAATTATGAGCTCATATTTTGGACTGATGTCTTAAAAAAGATAGGTTATGAACATAAAAATTGAGGTTATGGCAATTTCTTTTATTTCTAACATCGCTTTACCCCCACTTAACTGGCCTCAAATTTTTAAATGACCGATTTTGCTAATAATGTATGTAGTCTGCATCTTGGAAAATATTTTCAAATGTAGGTATTATTTTATAAAAAAAAAAAAAAATACTAAACATTTTGAAATAAAAAAAATAAAAATTTGAAATAATTTAAAATAAAGTTCGAATAAAATAACTAAAAATCAGAAAAAAAATATTTTTTTCAAAATTCTTCTGCACCGTTTTTAATAAAAACTCCTAGTAATCCAAATTCACATTTTTTATTTTTTTAAATTTAGTTTAATTCAAAAGCAACAAAAATCGAGTATACGAAAATTTGAAAACAAATAAATTTATTTTGGATTTGGTTTGACCATTTTATTTTATAAAAAATTAATATTAATAAAAAAGTAATAAATAACGTAAACAATTTCATGAAAATCCATTTTTTAAGGTTAGCTTCGTTCAAACCATCCCCGAATGCTAAAACTAAATGATAGATTTCCATTTTCAAGCTTCATGTATTTCTTAGTGTTGTCTCTCGAAAAAAATAAAATAAAACAAAGAAAAAACATCCAGTATACTAAAATAAAAATACAAATAAATATAAATTAAGAAAAATGAAGAATACGATTATTTTAACAAAATACTATACATACAAAAAAAAAAAAAAAAAAACAATTGAAACAAACAACAAAGCAGAATGAAAACTTAATAAAAAGAATGTGGCAAAAATCCAAAAAAAGTGTTTTTTTATTATTAAGGAAATAATTATTTTCAAAAAAAAAAAAAAAATATTCTATATTTTTTCTATAGAAAAAAAAATCGAAACAAAACTTTGATGACTTTTTTTCTATAAAAAAATTGAAAAGAATTTTCGATGACTTTTTTCTATAGAAAAAAATTCGAAAAAAATTTTCGATGACTTTTTTCTATAAAAAAAAATTCGAAAAAAATTTTTCGATGACTTTTTTCTATAGAAAAAAATTCGAAAAGAATTTTCGATGACTTTTTTCTATAGAATAAAATTCGAAAAGAATTTTCGATGACTTTTTTCTATAGAAAAAAATTTGAAAAAAAAATTCGACTTTTTTCTATGGAAAAAGATTCAAAAATTTTTTCAATGATTTTTTTTTTTTTGTCAAGCCGACACAATTTATTTCGATAAATTTTACTTATTTTTTTATTATTAAATTTTACGAAATATCCATTTTAACAGAATTTTACATTTTTTATATAAATTATTGATTTTTTGTGATTAATTCTTTAATTATTGTATTTTAATTCTTTTTTTATTATAACAAATAATAATCTAAAAATATTTCCTGCCATAAATTCCCCACGAAATCAAAAAATCCCCAATCCCTTATTATTTCATCGATATTTCTCGTATCTCAGTAACACCCTGTGTTTTTCTTGAGGTTTGTTGCCTAAGTCTTTTGTTTATTGACATGCAACTATTGTCATTTCTTCTTATTTCCTTTGCTCCCATGCACTCTTGCACACATCTAATGCACACAATGAAACGGCATGTCTTCTGCTCTTTTGAGAACTTTCATGAATGACTCAGGTGAGAACACCGCTGCCGACTGATGACGGCGGCGTTGTTGATCATCAACGGTAAAAAGCAAGTGAGACGTAATGCAGCAAATTTCATAATAGAAGGAAAGGAGAGAGAGAGCACAAGAGACTGAGATCATTTGTTCTCAGAGCATATGGGGAACTCTTGGATAATAAAATGAATGGAGATTTATTTATTTAATAGAAATATTCATGATATTAATAACAATTATTTATTTTATGAAACTAAAAATATGAATAGTATTTTTTTGTTAATTTTTGTTGTTGTTGTGAATTCCTTGTTAAAAAATAATTGAAAGTGAGCTCACGTATTTTGTTTGCTTTTCTCATTTTCTCCTTTTTTGTTTCAAATGTTTGGTGTTGTTTTGTGTCTGTGTGCAGTTAAGTGTGTGTTTACACGTTTTAACTAAACTCGGCCGGGCAGTGTTGCCATCTCTGGAAAAGGATTTTTTCGACAATTTTTTGAATAAAAAATTTAATTAATTTTGAGAAATAGAAAAAAATGAAAAGTAGATAATAATAAAATTGAAATTTCCAATACATGTGACCAAATTTAAAAATCGCTCGTTTTTTTCTTTTCCTTGGCAACCCCTTTCTGATGGCTGAGCCCAACCTATTGGCCAAACAACTTGGCTTGGCCTTTTCGTTTAGCCGGAGAGTGTCTACCTGTTAGTTACCTGTTGACTGTTGAACGTTTTGGTGGTGTTTTCAAATCAAGCGGGATTACACAAAAAATAAGAAAGAAGAAGAAGGGGATACAAAGCAGAGAGAAACACACATAAAAAAATAAAACGTGTAATAAAATAAAAAAAAAACGAAACAAAACAGAAATATATGTGAAAAATTGATCGGAAAAATAGAAAATAACAACAAAACGAGAAAAAATATTGAATAAATTATTAAAAAAAAGTTAATAAAAATAGTAAAGAATTGAAAAAAGGTTATAGAAAAAATATTTCTGAACCCATACAATCTCAAAAAAATACGAAAAAAAAGAAAGAATCACAACAACGTATTGAATCTTCCAAACACAACGAACATCGCCAGCAAATACCACGACAAAGTCTCAACAACGCAACAGGCTGCCGCTGCTACTGCTGCGTCCGACTGCCCGGCCGACCCGCAAAGAAGATAAACCAAGTTTAACGGAGTATATCGGTGTGTCTAAAAGGTGTGTTGTTGTTTTTGTGGTAATACTAAAAAAAATAGTAAGTCTAAGAGTCGAATGTGTGTGTGTGTGCGTGAGTTTAGCTAGAATATGGGTACCGAGATTTTGTAGATATTCTTGTGTGGTGGCTGTAGTTTTTTTCATCGTTTTCGGGGTTTTTTGTTTAATTTTCAACAAATCAAGTGTGATTTTTTTATTTTTTTTATTTTTTCAAAAAAAGGGGGGAGCAAAACTATGGCATGTTTGTGAAATATTTCAGAAATGAGTGGCTTCATAGCAGAAATGTTTTTTTATTTTTCAGATCACAATGAAAACAATTTGTAATCTTTACAAACTCGAAAATCTTAGAAACTTTTTCTGCTGTGGAGAAAAAATCCAACTGCGTGGCATTTTGTTTCTCCTCGGCTCAGTGTTGTTGTTTTTGTTTATTTACAATAGTTCAATGAATATTATTGTTGTTATTTTATTTTTCAAAATTGAAAAATAATTTTGTCATAACATCATCAGTTTTTTTTCGAGTCGAATAAATATTCACTTGTTATTGCCACAGCAGCCATCTTAAATTCACTTCGATCGACAATTGACTTGGAAGGTGTGGTGGTGATGGTGGTGATAGCAACCATCATCTTCTACAGCTATGACTTTGTTGTTATTAGAAATAGGAAAAAATCTGAAAAATGTCAGAAATGAAATTAAACCAGGAAAAATAGAAAAATAAAATCACCAAAATATAAAAAATCACTAAAATTTAAAAAATTACCAAAATATAAAAAGTCGCCGAAATATTAAAATTCACTAGACCCTGCCAAAATTTTTGTAGAAAAAGAAAAATAGAAAAAAAAAATCACCAAAAATTAAAACAATCGCTAAAATATAAAAAAGTCAATAAAATATAAATAATCACCAAAATATAAAAAATCGCCGAAACATAAAAATTCACTAGACCCTGCCAAAAAATTTTGGAAAAAAAGAAAAAAAATCTGAAAAAATCATAGAAATTTTATGAAATAAATTTCCAAAATTTAAAAAAAAAATCTGAAACAAGGACTTGAAAAAAATGCAATGTTTGTCAATGACTGCCTTTTGCTTCCACACATGTGTTGTTATTGTTCTCATTGTTGACTCCCTCTCACTCTCTCTCTCTCCGGCTAACAAGTGCAAACACACTAAACATGAAATGAGAAAAAGGAAATAATATTATTTCTTAAAGTTTTTAAAATAGATAAAAATAAAAATGATTATGCACAACATGTTTTGGAAAAACTATTTTTTAAATATCAAGGTATTAATTAGGGAATTTTTGGTAAAAAAAACAAATATTTTTTTAAGAAATGAAAAATAGACTTTTCAAAGAAATGGTAAATATTTTATGAAAATGTGAATTCAGCTAAAATTTTGCTCCAAAAACGGGTATTTTTTAAATAAAAAACTGACAATTTTAAACATTTGTAGGCACCAAAAGTTTCAAATCAGGTTCAATTTTTGCCATGAGAAGCCTTAATTAGCCAAGTTTTTGCTCTTTTTCTATTTTTTTTAGATTAAATCGAAAAATTCAACTAAAATTCGGGCATGGAAAAATCAATTCAGCCTTTTTTTGGTAACGAAAAGTTAATTCTGCAAACTATTCCAAAATTGTTAAACAATATAACCTAAATTTCGAAAAAAATCCCGATTTTTATATGGAAATGTGAATTCTACCACGAAAAAAGGGTAATTCTGTTCGAAAATGACAATTCAGGAAAATATATACCCACAAAAAGATTCAATTCAGTTATTACTTTATTAAGGATAGGTAAATTTATTAAAAGTTTTTTCCATTTTTTTAACAATTCTGTAAAATTTGTAATGAAATTGAAAATTCAGCTACATTTTAAGCCTCATTAATGCAATCCAGCAAAAATTTGGTTCAAAAAATGCCAGTTCAGCTAATTTTTATACCCTCCACCATAGTATGGAGGGTGTGTTAAGTTTGTCATTCCGTTTGTAACACCCCGAAATATACATTTTAGACCCCACAAAGTATACATATTCTTGATCAGCATAAAGTTCTATGTCGATTTAGCGATCCGTCCGTCCGCCTATGGAAATCACTCTAGCCTCCGAACGAAATGGAGTAGATTGATAAAATTTTACTCAAACGTATATGTTGTCTGCAGGACTTTTGGTATTGAAAATGGGCCATGTAGGTCCACGTCTTCGTATAGCCCCCATATAACGATACCTTCCGATATTCGATATTTTGATGATTTTAACGACATTATTCACCGGAATTGTTTCAAATTTGGTATTCGTTCGTTCGTAATGGATGCCACAGCCTGTGACAGAAAATCGTCTATGTAGGTCCAGGTCTTCGCATAGCCCCCATATAACGGTATCTCCCGATATTCGGTATTTTGACGATTTTAGGTACAATACTCATTGAAATTGTTTGAGATGTCGTGTTTGAAATTCTTAATGGATGCTACAACCTGTAACAGAAAATTGTCTATGCAGGGACAGGTCTTCGTATAGCCCCCATATAATGGTACCTCCCGATATTAGGTATTTTGATGATTTTAGCTACATTATTCACCGGAATTGTTTCAAATTTGGTATTTGAAGTTCGTAATGGATACTACAGTCTGTGACAGAAAATCGTCTATACAGTTACAGATCTTCGTATAGCCCCCATATATCAGTACCTCCCTATATTCGGAATTTTGACGATTTTAGGTACAATACTCACCGAAATTGTTTGAGATGTCATATTTGAAGTTCGTAATGGATGCTACAGCCTGTGACAGAAAATCGGCTATGCAGGTACGGTACCTCCCTATATACGATATTTTGATGATTTTAGCTACATTATTCACCGTTTATTTCAAGTTTCGAATTTGAAGATGGTAATGGCTTATGACAAACAAAGCTTATGTAGGTCCACGTCATATAGCTGAAATATAACGGCCGAATATATTTCCTTGCTCCGCAAAAATCCAGCAAATTTAGTTTTTTTTTTCGATCTCTACAAAATAAAAAAAATTGCGGAATTGATTTTTTTTCTTCAGAAAATAATACAATAAATTTTTTATTTGGGAAATATGCACGAGTTTACAATGTAGGCTGTGAATTTAAGTAAAGTCATTCAACAGGCCAAAAGTGATTTATTTTGAAAAAAAAAAAATTAAATAAAAAAAATTAATTAAAAAAATAAATAAAAAAATTAAAAAAATATATAAAAAATTATAAAAAAAATTATAAAATTATAAGTCACGGAGTTTTGATTTTTTAAATTAATAAAAAATATAAAAAATTATAAAAAAAATTATAAAATTATAGGTCACGGAGTTTTGATTTTTTTAAATTAAAAAAAATATAAAAAATTATAAAAAAAATTATAAAATTATAAGTCACGGAGTTATATCAACAGGCCAAAAGTGATTTTTTTTGAAAAAAAAAATGTAAAAAAAAAAATAAAAATAAAGTCACGGAGTTTTGATTTTTTAAATTAATAAAAAATATAAAAAATTATAAAAAAAATTATAAAATTATAGGTCACGGAGTTTTGATTTTTTTAAATTAAAAAATTATAAAAAATTATAAAAAAAATTATAAAATTATAAGTCACGGAGTTTTGATTTTTTTAAATTAAAAAAAAAATATATATAAAAATTATAAAAAAAATTATAAAATTATAAGTCACGGAGTTATATCCACTGAGGAAAATAAAAATAATTTAATGAAAAAAAAACAATTCCGCTAATTTTTTTGTATAGAAATCTCTATTCAGCAAGCATGCTACAGAAAAACTTAACTTATCAACATTTTTCCAACAAAAATTCAATTCAGAACACTTTCGTTCCTAGAAACTTAAAAAATATAAATTCAACATAATGTTCTCCATATGGAGTTTTTTTCGTTGACAGATAGGAATTCAGCAAAGTTTCCCCCTCGAAAAAACAAATTCAGCTACATTTTTTCTACAGACCAAGACTTTCATTTCATTTCATTTTTTTTCTAACATTTAACTTTCTGAATAATTTTCCTCTCATTTAAAAAACATCACCATGACCTTCGTTGTTTGCCAAACGTTTTGATTTATAACTGTTATTATTGTTTGTTGTTGTTTTTGCTACAAAACTCTTCAATTGTCATGCAAACGCACTTCTCACCATTTCAGCAAATAGTATCATCGTCATCATCATCATTGTCACAGTCATCATTACATTTTTTCAATACCAAAAAACGAAAAAAAAAAATCTCGGCTATTGGCCATCCAACTTCTTTGCCTGCAGGGCCAAAGACTTGGGGTTGATCACTTGCTCACTCACTCATTCGCTAGCTAGCTGGCTGGCTGGCCGCCTGTCTAACTGACTGATGATGTCTTACATATTTTATGAGCCGCTGAATAGAAAGTGAGCCGAAGAAACAGCCGCATTTTAACACTTGCCATTAGGTATGCGGGTCGTCAACATCGTCAACGTTAAATAGAAATGCAAATAATTTTCACTGGGGGCCATTATTGTCGTTATTATTATTATTTGCAGGGTTTCTAGAGAAGACAAAAACTGCAACAACAAACAGAGCTGGGGTTTTTGTTGTTTATTTTTAAAACAAACACAAAGCTGTTCTTTTTTGTTTATTGAGCACACACAAATAGCCGGAGAGAAATTGAGAAATGCAAAGAAAAAGTGAATTAAGAAAAAAGGCTTTGTTTGAAAATGTTTTTTTTTTAAAGGAAACCTTAAATTTAAACAAATTTTTCGATGGATAAACTTAATGGAGGTCATTTTTTGAAAAAAAAAAAAAATAATTCACAAAAGTTTTCCCAAGGTAATCCGTAATTAAATCAAATTTACCAACAAAAAATGTAAATTTAGCAACATTTTTCTCTAAAAAAAAAAATAAAAATAACTCAGCTAAGTTTAAAAAAATCAATTCGGCAAAGGTTTGCTTTGCATTTAACGAAGTTTTTGGTAAAAAAAACTCTGTTTGGCAAAGATTTTCTTTAATAAATAATTTTTTTT